AAAAAAAAAAAAAAAAAAAAAAAAAGCCAAACTAGAGAGGTACAGGACGTAGAAAGTGGGCCTCTCTGGTAATTCCATCTCTGGAAACAAACCTCAGAAACAGCCGAGGCCTGGCCCATCCTCTATGGAACGCTGGTGCAGAAACCGTCTTCCAGGTGTGTACGTAACATGGGCAGACTGTGTGCTTCCATCAGATGGTTTCGAATACATCCAACTCGTGGGAGGACAGGTTGGAATGGGGTGGATAGGCCTATGCTGCCACTGGGGGCAGCACACTGCCAGCCCCCCAGCATTTCTTTAGCTGGGGTCCCCTGAAAAAGAGAAGGAACAGGGAAGAGGAGGGGCTGGGAGGTGGCAAGTGATTGCAGTGTGGACAATAGAGGAGGCCCTTGTGGCAAATTTATCAGCAGAAGCAATCAGAGGGAGAGAGGCAGGGCGGCACTCACTCATCCTCCTTGACGCCAAGTGAGCATCCGAAAGTCAGCCCCTCTCCATTCCCCGCAGTGTTAAGGACCGTGGGGAGGGCAGGGCAGGGCCAGCTGCTGACAGCTCCTGCAGGCGGACAGCATCAGCCATGCTTCTAGCACAGGGGCAGAAAGGGATGTCAGACAGCAGCCACTCAGAGGAAAGCCCTCTCCCAGGGAGCCAGGCCTGTGATGCAGATGACATTGATATTTCTTCCTACCCCTCCCCTCCAATTCACCCAGTGTCAGCCATGCATTAGGCAGAGAGGCTGGGCCAGTCCCTGTCATGGCAGAGCTTCTCTCCTAGGGTGATGACGGACACTGAACAGGTGAGACGGAGGAACAGGGGACCCAACTCATTTACGGAGGTGTGTTCAAGGAAAGCCTTTTTGCAAGCCATGTGTAAACTAAGTTCCACATACATCCCCTTCCCCTGACCAACATCTCCCCAAGGCAGTAACTTCATCCTGGCATCACCTGGAAACTTGGTCTATTCTGGCCAAAGCCTCCTTCCTAAGGCCTTCCTTTTAGTTCTCTTTTGTTCAAGACTGAGTTTACAGCTCACTGTTCCCAAAGCACACCACCTATCTGCGTGCCTGTATAAGAAGCCCTACACAAAACAGCGAGGGCGGGCTTTTGCCAAGGGGGCATCTGGACAGTGGCTTTGATGCCCAGCCTAATGTGGGTGCCCCACATTCAGTTGGAAGACTGCCTCTCTTTTCCCCCTGGAAGCCTGGGGCAGGAGTTGGGTTTAGCTACAGGAGGACAAGTTCCCTGTGGAAAAAGTGGGGGTGGCTGTAGGGAGGACACACTGTTTTGTGGAGAGCCGCCGCAGCGCTGCAGGTAACCCAGTTTCCGCGAGTCCCCAGCGCAGCCTTAAGGAACAGGCAACTGTGCCATAGGTTTGAGTGTGCAGCAGCCAGCAGCCCCGCTCCTGGACATGGAGAACGCGGAGAGCAGAGGGTAGCTCAGGCCATTGCAAGTTTGTTCTCTACTTTCTGTCCTGTGGACTTGGCGATGCTATCCCCATCCTAGTCCCAGCCAAGCTCATATGGCCTTTAATCACCTACAGACCCAGAAGCAAGACACCCACTGCAATTGCTAATTCCAGAAAGGCCGTTACAAAAGCTGTGTAACAGAAGTACTGCAATACAAGTCTCCTCCCTCCTCCACTTTCTGCCTTCGGAGCATGGGTGTGTGTGTGTGGACTTGCAAGGGCAGGGGGCGGGGCCCAGGAGGCTGCTAGAGCTGGGTAGGATTGGATCCTGCCTCCTACCAGGCAGCCTCACCTGGGTGTAGCACAGCCTCACCCTCTAGCTCTAGACAGACTTGCTGTCTGCACCCCACCACCCCGCTTCTCTCCAGAGTCCATGCCACATGTTTCTTCCACTGACACCACCTCTAGTGAGTTGAATGATCCTTCCACCACCAAAAGATATGTTCACTTCCCAAACCTGGAACCTACGAACATGAACTTATTTGGAAAAAGGGTGTTTGCAGATGCAATTAAGAATCTCAAGAGGCTGGGCACTGTGGCTCATGCCTGTAATCCCAGCACTTTGGGAGGCCGAGGCAGGCTGATCCCGAGGTCAGGAGATCGAGATCATCCTGACCAACATGGTGAAACCCCATCTCTGTATTTAAAAAACAAAATTAAATTAAAAATAATAATAATAAAAAAGAATCTCAAGATCAGGCTGGGTGTGGTAGTTCACATCTATAATCCCAGCACTTTGGGAGGCCAAGGCAGGTGGATCACCTGAGATCAGGAGTTCGAGCCCAGCCTGACAAACATGGAGAAACCCTGTCTCTACTAAAAATACAAAAATTAGCTGGGCGTGGTGGTGGGTGCCTATAGTTCCAGCTTGGGAGGCTGAGGCAGGATAATTGCTTGAACCTGGGAGGCAGAGGTTGCAGTGAGCCGAGATCACACCACTGCACTCCAGCCTAGGCAGCAGAGCAAGACTCCGACTCAAAAAAACAAGAATCTCAAGATCAGATTATATCTGAATGGGCCCTAAATCCAATGACAAGTGTCACAAGAGACAGAGGAGATGGCCATGTGAAGATGGAGGCACAGGATGGAGTTCCATAGACACAAACCAAGGACCACCTGGAGCCCCCAGAAGCTGAAAGAGGCAGAGGACTCTCCCCCAAGCATTTGGAGCACGGCCTGCAGCACCTTGACTTTGAGCTTCCAGAACCATGAGAGAATACATTTCTGGTGTTTGTTTTTTGCTTTTTGTTTTTGTTTGTTTATTTTGTTTTGGAGACAGTCTTGCTCTGTCTGTCTTTTTGAGACAGTCTCATTCTGTCACCTAGGCTGGAGTGCAGTGGTGCAATCTCGGCTCACCGCAACCTCCACCTCCCAGGTTCAGGCAGTTCTCCTGCACCAGACTCCGGAGTAGCTGGGATTACAGGCACCCGCCACCACGCCCAGCTAATTTTCTTTTTTCTGTATTTTTAGTAGAGACAGTGTTTTCTCCGTATTAGCCAGGATAGTCTCGATCTCCTGACCTCGTGATCCACCCACCTTGGCCTCCCAAAGTGCTGGGATGCCACCGCGCCCGGCATTTCTGGTGTTTTTAAGCCACCCAGTTTATGGTCATTGGTTATAGCAGCCCCAGGAGGGCAATGGAGCCCCCTTGACCTTGATTCCAGTGGGGAATTCCCAAACCTGCCCTACCCACTGGCGGCACTTGGAGGGGTGGCCATCCCAGCCTTCTTGAGATGCTTCCTTCACTCTG